CAAAACAATCAATTCCCAGAGAAAACTAGGGCTTTGAGAGGTTAAGTAACTTGTCGAAGGTTATATAACCATTAAAGGTAACACTAGAACTCAACCCAGGTTTGATCTTACTCCAAAGCTTATTCTTTTTAATTACCACAGTCTACTACCTCCCCAAGAAAGCAATTATTGTGGTTAAGCTCTTCTTACTTATGGGTAATTTAAATCTCAACTTCCTTATAGGTTCTTCTTGAATACAAATAAACTAAAGAAAAAAAAACTGAAATATGCTTTCCATCACAAAAGTTAAGCTTGATCTGTAGTAGTTGCTTCTTTTCCATACAAACCCCAGAAACAGCTTTTGGCAAGTAGCCATTATAAATAAACCTTCAAAATTAAACTAAATTTCAAATGGTATATGGATGTGTTGGACATTTTTGAGAGTGAAAGTGAATGTAAATAAAAATATAGGAGGATAGAAAACTATTAAATTATAAGCAGGGAAGGAAATAGGTTTTTTCTTCTCTAATATATTTTCCACAACATTAAGTAATGATCTGTATCTCCCGCTCTATTAACTATATCTTTTAATAGTGCTTCCCAAGAACCCAGCTGGATAAATTACAGTGTCCTTATTAGGGAGGGAAAAAACCGTGAAGCAACATTATTTAAAATTGCATTCTCCAGAACACAATATATCAAGTTGAATATCAATACAAATATCAATAAACGCTATCACCATATTAACTCTAGCCCTTCCTAGAAATGCCTTGGTCATACCGTGCTATAATGTTATACTCTCAGCTCCTGTTGGAAGGTTGCTGTATGAACTAAGATATGACATCCACTTCATCTGCCTTCTGACCCATTACATAACTTAGGTTTGTTTACTTAATAATCCCTTCAAGAAACTTGTTTTAAATATACTGCTTGGGCATGTGGGTGGTTAGGGGAAGGAACGTCATGTTCCCTTCTTTCTGAGAGTAAAATTTCCATTCTTTTCCTTGTTGCTCTCAGTATTTGCAGGCTCAAGCCAAAATTAAGCTTCAATTATGGTAACTAAGAGGAATATCCAGACTGAGCCCTAACTTTATATTTCCATTTTAGTAATGTTATTATTATATGTTTTATTGTAAACCATCAAATCCTTTTCAAATGAGGTTTGGTATAAGTTACAAAACTAAACTATCTCAGTCCTAGAGTTTAACCATCAGCTTGGGATGGGATCAGATGACATAGAATTAATCTAGCTACATGGGTCAGCAAACTTTTTCTGTTAAGGGACCAATAAATGTTTAGGCCATAAGAGCCATACCAGCGGGCCATGGTTTGCCAACTCCTGGCCAAAAAATCGATATGGTCTTCCACTTTTTGTGTTTCTTCAAAAAAACATTCCACGTAAAACCCCCATGTTACAAAAACAAGAACAATTTGAAACCATAAGAACCACCAATTCTGTAGCGAGTTGGCATTTGTTTTTTACAGGGACTATATAATACATTTAATTTAGAAGTGCAAGGTGTATTCAGAAGTGAACAGAAAACTGATAAATATGCACTACTCTTCAAGTATACAGAAATAATTCTGATCCAATGATACAACCTACTGAGACAGGGTCTCACGGACGACATACTACTTGGATGTTACCATGGGAATAGGTTAAGATCTTTCGGAAAATATCTACTTTCTTTTAGGCTACTATACTATTCCATGTACTAAAGCACTGATTTACTAAGTAGTATCTAGATACTAGGAAGGGCAATGATTGATGGGTGCTTCTATCTTTTTCTTTAGAGAATTATATGTTCTTACAAATGCAGGGACATAAGATATATTTTTCCAAAGCAAGAGACTGAAGGACGATAAAGTATACGTCTTACATGCTGCTAAGTTTTATAGGCCTAAATCTGTAAAGACAATTGTCCTCTTACTGTTTTCAAAATCAGCTTAAAGATTAAATGCTTGTAAATACCTATACGGTTAATAGTTAAGTAGTACATTGGCATTATAGCAAGCAGACTTTCGCATTGTTTTATTCCCAGAATTAAGTCTAGAGATTGCTACGTCTTGAACCAATAGTATATCCCTTAGGATAGTGTGCCCCAGTGGGATATATATCAGAAGCATATGTGTCTGTTTTTAACATATAAATTTCCGGGCCCCACTCCCAGACTATTGAATCAAAAAATAGTGGCTGGGCTTTATGTTGTCTCCTCCCAGAACTCTGATGGGGTGGACAAAGTGATTAAATTCTCACCACATACTATCATGAAGCAATATCATTATTGCCTTTAACAGATAAGAGAACCAGAGCTAAAAGAACCTAACTTGCTTAAAGTTGCATATCCTCAGCCCTACTGGCTTTCGGGATAGAGCCGCGGACTTCTGTTAAATCACTAGAATGGAATTAACCAGGGAAAAAAACATAATACCCACATTCTAACTTAGAACCCGAGACCGTTTACTTTTCCTTTCAAGGAATATTTACTAAATAAGTAGTAGGAAAGCTGAATAAAATATAAAGCCTAAATGTTATTCTACAAAAACAGATTATCTTTAATAGTGGAATTTTGCCTGGCTATGACCCTTTTATTTTTTCAATTTTTATCCATTTCTGGCCTTAAAGGTTTAAAAAAGAAAAAAAAAAAAAAAGTAGCTCCAGGCTGGAAAGAGGCCGCCAGTGCTTCAAACAATGGCATAGAAAGAGGTCAGCAGAACTGACTGGGGTCAGATCAGAAGAGGAGAGAAAAGCAGGTAAAATGGATAGGTAGAATAGGAAAATATTATTTTGTATTTATTTTCCTCCAACCAAGCATGTATTTTACAAATGTCTCAAATCTGCTCCTGGGCACTTAGTAACATTTGTGTTAGTACCTATTTTTTTTTTTTTTTTGATGTAGTAGTTTCAAATTTCAGTTTAGCAGAGAGCAGAAGTTGCAACAGCAAAGTTAAAGATAGGAGGGGTAGGTCTCCCGATCATTCTGAACTCCTTCCATTTCCCCCAAGATGCTCACCATGGAGAAATTAAGTTTAAATGAGCAAATAGAGCATCATACTTTCTGCTGCCATATGTATGGTAAAGTAAGCATGAGGCGATTATGGGCAACTAAAGAAAAATGAATTTGACAAGAATCAAATCTTTAGAAAATATTTTTATAGTGAGTGCCTCAATGCAAACACAATTTAGAGATTAAATCTGTGGCCATGGAAATAAACTGCAATAAAAAAGTGATTTTTTTCCTATATGTTAGAAAATCAAGGAAATGTTAGATTATAGTCACAGAACGTTTTTATTTCAGGTATTTGAGGTTGCCCTCACAGTGAAAATTACAAAATTGGATGAAAAACCAAAAGTCAATTTTGCATACTCGTGAAATTGCTACCCTTCTTGAGGCCTTATCCAGGAATAATATCTTATTATATGGAGTCGAAGAAACCAAGAAAGAATGAGGAAGTGGATGTTTTACAAGCTGAGGGAATATGGGGTAAGTGAGCCAAATCAGCATCTACACTGACAAAGTCTGGTGACACCCATCTCGTTATCTTATGCTGGGCCCAGCAGCTGCTTTGGCTGCCAGAGTTTATTGCCTTCAGGCTGTCTTTGCACTATTCTTGATATTTGGAAGATGCAAAGTCATCCTCCTCGTAAAACTGACCCAAGGACATTAAGGGAGAGAGCAGACATATTCCTTCTGAATTGCAACTGGACAGAATTGAAAATTGGAACTGAACTGAAGTTGAAATGCACGAAGAACCAACCTTGTGCCCCTGCACAGTCAGGAGCAGCTTCAGGGAGGCAGAAGAACACAGCAATTTCGGACACCAGCGGTGTGTCATCACGAAATCACCTACTTCAGGGATGGGCTAAGATGCTTTATGGGATGAGAGGGAGACTCAACATTTTATATCTTTCCTTAACATGGATAAATGGTTTTTCTGACAATACCATTTACGGATGCTCCAGAACTCTCAATTGGTCCTTCTTAATAGAACCAAGCACAATGCAGTTTCCAAAATTCATTTTCAGCCCTCTTTGATATTCCAGAACTTTCACCTGCCCTTTGGTTTTTCTCATTTGCTTCCAGAAGCCCAGCACTCTAGATTACCATAGGACTCCTAGGGGACAGGGCCCAGCAAATGGTGTTCCTGAAGACCTGTCCTCATGGCCCATACTCGGCAGGTTTTAGAACCTTTGTTTTCATCAAAGTGTATCTTTTTGGGCCCTATCCTCCAAAAGCTTTGCTAGCTAAGTGGCTTATACCTTTACAGCCAGTGCGGTGAAAGGTGAACATGATGAAGGGGAATTGTGGCTAATTGTTCCCCTCACCTCATTCATTCAGTGGCATCAGCTAGCTCTTGAAAGAGCAAGGTGGAGTATATCTGCTCAGGAAATGTTAGGAAATGTTAGGAAATGCTCAGGAAATTTTCTGGTCATTTAGCTGTTATTGTTACTGCCCTTTTTGACCCTCATCATCTCCTCAACTTTCTTTTCAAATACCCTGTTTAAAAACTTGTCTTTTATTTCTCACTTCAAATGATAGAAATAAAAGTACTTGACTAGTAATAGTTTGTGTGATAAATATCCATACTGCTTTCACATTTTAGAGCCAATCTGTGAATCACATTTAAGCTGGCTTCTCGAAACAATTTTCAGCACATTCTACTTGCAGTCAGATGAAGTGGCAATTTTCTTAAAATATGGAGCAGTTTGGTGCTGGGCAGAACATGTATTCAGGCTCATAAACATAAACATTTTTTATGTAGCATTTAAATATGAACTCTGCAACTCCAAAATGCTACAAAAATATAAACAAAATAATTTCAGGAATAAAGAAATATAGCTAAAGAAAAATTGAGAGGAAGCAAGAAAAAAAAGGAGACAAGTTTTCTTTGATACAAGAAAGTTGATCACGGCTAAAAATTTGTTTTTATAAATTTCTTTAGGGAAAGAATGTAGCACACTCTAGAAAGTGTTTCACATTATATATCAAGCAACTTGGGTATTTACTTCTTATTCTGACCTTTTTCTAGCAGCCCCAGCCCAAGGCCAGCACCGATCCTTTCTTCAGCGATGACAACCGTATAGCGATGCTGAGTGAGAAGGTGCTGGTGGAGCTGAAGCTCTGTTTTGCTGAAGGAAGGAGGCCTGTAGAGTATGGCCCTTCTGTCATGGCTGCCAAAGTGTGTCTCTACTGATTTCTCCATCTAAAAAAAAAAAAAAAAAAGCAAGAAAGAAAGGAGACATAAAAATTCAAGAGTAGGAAGTAGCACACTGCCCTTGAAGGACATCATTAATGCAAATCAAGGGCCATTCCAAAAGTTATCCTGTCAGTTTTTCTCTGGAAATGAAAGACAGACTCTCTGAAAGGCTGACAAGGACAAAGCCGACCTCACATGCAAGAACTGAAGGTGAATTGAATTTTTCTCACTATTACAGAGATGAAAATTTTAGGCCATTAAAATATAGAGGTCCTAGAGGAATACTATTACATAGAAATACAGAGCTCAACTCTAGCTGAAAATATAAATTAATACCAATGGCTTTCATCTGCATTGTGCTTATATAAAATATTTCCAGATGCATTATCTTCTAACAGTGCTTTTTAGGTAAACACAGGAGAGGAAACTGACTCAGAAAGGATGGATTTTGTGCTAGCAGGACATGTTCAGGAACGGGGAGAGCTGTGAAGCAAGCTCTAAGCTCTTTGGAGATACATAATGCTGCTCAATCATGATGCAGCAAAATTGGAATACATCTCAGTGTGGCAGGGTGGCTCCCTGTCCGCGAAGAAGAATATCATAATTTCAGGTTCTTCCTTCCATAGTTTATTGCTCCTCTAAATAAATATTCCTCTTTCTCACACCAATGTTTGAAATTCCACTAACAAAAGGGAATTTTCCAATTGACAAGTAGAAAGAATGCTGATATTTGAGTTCATTATACAGTATAATAGCTGACATTGGGTATTTTCCTGAAAACTTGAGATTAAACCTTAATAAAGTAGACATTTTTTGTTACCAGGAGTGATGAGATTGGATGGGGGTTAGAGCAAAAACTGGGAGGTCAAAAAAGAGGAGACAAAGGAGTTGGGGGGGACGATGAGGGAAAAGAGATAAAAAAACAAAACTGGGAATCCAAATAATTTACAATGGTACCTCTGAATCAAACCGTTCACTTTATAGATCTAAAATATATGGAGCATGTTTTTTCACTACTTAAATTTCTTCTTTACTTCCCATTACTGATAGAATCCATTCTAAATCTTCATCAAAGAACACAAGGCCATTCAAACTTAAACCCTGTCTTTCTTCTCTGGTCATATCACAATCTTAATTATTCCCATTCCTGATCCCATCCTGTTCTTTCATACACATCCCCCTGTGCCTTCTACCTAAAATTCCTTCTTCTCTCTCTCTGTTCGTCCATCTGACTAGCTCCAAATCAAACATCACCTCTTTTGGAAAGTTTTCATTGAAATACGCCCTTCCATTAGCACTTATGAAAGGAAGTGTGCATCTCTCCCTGATGTGAGCTCCTTAACAGGCAGTACACATGTATGCACAGTACATGTTTAATAAATGAAGATATCTACAAAATTAATGAGCCACAGTGCTCTATCAAGATCTTTGAAGATATGGGTGGAAAGAAAGAAGAAACAGATTTCGATTACAAACCCTCTGAGGTCAGGAACCATATCCTAGTTTTCATTGCATACAAATTATTGCCATCTGTAAATGAATAGACAAAGCAGAGTGCCGTGCAGGAGAACACAAACTCTGGAGAGACTGCCGGCTTTGAATCCTCTGGTTCCACCAGCACTCTTTGTGTGACCTTGGACAATACCTTCCTCCTATGGGTGCAGTGAGGACTAAAGAGTTACTATCTGTGAATGGCTTAGAACTGTGCCTGGTATGTGGGAAATACTATATATGTGGGGTTTTTTTTTAAGATTTTATTTGAGAGAGAGAGGGAAAACACAGAGGGAGGGTGAGAGGGAGAAGCAGACTCCCCGCTGAGCAGAGAGTCTGATGCGGGGCTCAGTCCAAGGACCCTGAGATCATGACCTGAGCTGAAGGCAGATGCCTAACTGACTGAGCCACCTAGGCACCCCTATATATGGGTTTTTTAAAGATTTATTTATTTACTTGAGAGACAGAGTGCACACATGAGGGGCAGAAGGGGCAGAAGGCGAGAATCTCAAGCAGACTCCCCACCAAGCAGGGAGCCCAGTTCGAGGTGCGATCTCAGGACCCTGAGATTATGACCTCAGCCAAAACCAAGAGTTAGACACTTAGCTGACTGAGTCACCCAGGCACCCCTATATATGTGTTTTTTAAATAATAATATAAAGAGCAAAGAGTCAGAAAAACTCTGAGTCTAAGCTCTGCCTGGCACATGGTAACATAAGCGTTTAATATGTGTGTGGTGGATTTAATAGAAAGGAATAGAACACTAGCTAATCACACCTCCCCTGTGTGGCACTTTGGGCAAATATGATTAATTAGATATTTTCCCTTGTTAAAGGATACCGTGTTTTATTGATAATGAAATGATCGATTGATTGATTGTTAAGGAAACTTTTTAAACTCAAAAATTTAACTGCAAACTGGGACATGATTTCCCAGCCAATATCACATTTTTAGTCACAATAAACTTATAAGAAAGAGTCTTTGAAGTCAAAAACAGGTTGAGCCTCTGTACCCAGGACTTAGAGGGACTAGTAACCCACAGGAGGCCAAAATAAACAAACATGCCTCTAGGTGCAAGGGAAGACAGATGCTTCCAAATATATCAGTGTCACTCAGGCGAAATGCACAGTGCCAGAATTCCCTTCTCACATTATTTTCTTTTGTAATCACAGGATGCTCCTCTCTATTACAGCTGGCTCAAGTAGAGCAGTGATTTCACATGAGGAGAGTGTGTTTTCAAACTTTATGTTATTATTATTTTGAAGGATACATCCCTCCTCCCCCTACCCCGGCCATGATCAGTTTAAGCAAGAGCAATGTAGCTCTTACATTGCTACATACATGTAGTATCCTACATAGAGCATATTGTAAATAAAGTATAATTACTGGCCATATTTTCTAATAACCTTTACAACATAGACTGACATTTTAACTTACATCTCAGACTACAGAGAATAATGGGAAGTGAGCTTGTCGGTCAAATTATGTTGTATTATCCGGTAATACAAACTGCTCCTGTCCTTGTCATATTTATAACACACTGTATCAGCAAAATGGCCCAAGACCAAGGGGAAAGAACACTTTTAACTGGTCCAATAACAGGTGCACACACTGCATACGTGAAATAAAATCTACGTGAATAATTATGTCAACTGCACCAATAAATGTGGGATTATCAAATGCCAAAAGCAGCACTTTGGGAAATGAGAGCTCTTGATTACTCCTACAATTCTAAAGATGTATTTTTAGTGGAAGAATTTAACCTGGCCATCACTACAATAACTTAACTTGAGACTCACAGCCCTGCAGAGAAGACCTTAGGAAAGAATGAGTGTTACTGGATGTTAACATTCTGAACTTCCAAGTCATTTCTCTCTCTCCCTTCTTCTAGAAAGAGCTGAAAAATTATCCCTCAGAAATCACTTTGCAGACTATATGAAAGTTATTTTAATTTTTAAAAAGATTTTATTGATTTATTTGAGAGGGGGGGAAGGGGCAGAGCGAGAGGGAGAAAGAGTCTTAAGCAGACTCCATGCTCGTCATGGAGCCCGACATGGGGCTCAATCTCTCGACCTGGAGATCATGACCCTGAGATCACAACCTGAGCAGAAATCAAGAGTAGGATGCTTAACTGACTTTACCACCCAGGTGCCCCTGTGAAAGTTATTTTAAAACTGAACACTTTTGGGGAGCCTGGGTGGCACAGTCAGTTAAGCATTCGACTCTTGATCTCAGCTCAGGTCGTGATCTCAGGATTGTGATCTCAGGGTCATAGGATGGAGCCCCGCATCGGGGCTCCGTGCACATCTGGGAGTCTGTTTAAGAGTCTCTCACTGTCCCTCTCCCTCTCCCCCCCCCACCCCATTTGCACTCTCACACTCTCTCTCTCAAATAAATAAATCTTAAAAAAACTGAACACTTATTATTTTTATTGGAAAGACTTCAAAATCTGAAACTCTTATACCACATTAGATAAAGCAAAGGACGGAGTGTTATAATAAACAAACTGAAGTGTTAGATGCAGCAATGTGGAGGAAGAACAGAGGAAGGCCAGGGATCCGAAATCTGCATTTGAATTCTGACTGCCACTTTCTTGTTTCATCCATGGGGGTGAGTTCGTTTATCTCTCTACAGCAGAGTTTTCTCATATGTATAGCTGAAGTAACAAATTCTACCTCATGAAGTTGTACGGGGAATTAAATTAGTTTGCTATATGAAAGTGTCCAACAAAGTGTTTCATCAGTAAATGACATCAATTATTAATAAAATTGAATAATTATATATTGTAACTGATTTTCCATTAAAAATTCTATAAGCATTAGGGGTACCTGGGTGGCGCAATCGGTTCAGCATCTGACTCTTGGGTTCAGCTCAGGTCCTGATCTCAGGGTTGTAAGATTGAGCCCTGCGTCGCGCTCCATGCTCAGCATGGAGTCTTCCTGGGACTCTCTCTCCCTCACTCTCTGCCCCTCCTCCCTGCACTCTCTCTCTCTAAATAAATATTAAAAAAAAAAAAAAAGAATTCTATGAGCTTTACAATTACTACAGTTTGGCCTCTGTCATAAAAAGCATTTCTGTAATAAACTATATGTTTCCATGTATCTTGATACATGTTTTGCTCTATATGACTCATCACCTTTTTTTTTTAAAGATTTTATTTATTTATTTGAGAGAGAGAGGGGAGGGGGGAGGGGCAGAGGGAGAGGGAGAAGCAGACTCCCCACTGAGCAGGGAGCCTGACACAGGACTCGATTCCAGGACCCTGGGATTGTGACCTGAGCCGAAGGCAGATGCTTAACCAACTGAGCCACCCAGGCACCCAACTCATCAACTTTTAATGCAAAAATATAATTTATTTATTTGTTATGTTTATTGTCTGTCTCCCCACACCATAAAAGGAGGTAAATGAAACCATATATTTTGTCTATTTTGTTCACTTTTCTTTCCCCAACCTAAGACTACTATTGGGCACATAAGGGGCACATAATATATAGTCTTTGAATGGAGGAATACAA